TTGAAGAGCACGGTGAGCACCCAGGGCGTGACAGGCCTGTCCAGCGGCGAGGCGGAGTTCGCGGCCGGGGCGAAGGGCACCTCACTTGCCCTAGGTGTGCGCTCGCTCGCTTGGCGCAGACCTCGGCATGACACTGTACCCTGCGACGCATGCGGACAGCAGCGCCGCGAAGGGCATCTTCGGCAGGCGCGGCATCGGACGCATCAGGCACCTGCGCACTCCTATGCTGCGGGTGCAGGAGAAGCGCGCGAGGAAGGAGATTGACGTTCGGAAGACGCGGGGGGGGTCCAGCCCGGCAGATCTCGGGGCCAAGGAGCTCTTGCGCGTGGACGTCGACAAGCACCTGAAGACCTGCGGCTTTGCCCGCGAGTCCGGCAAGCACCCGAGGGCTCTGGCGGCGCAGATCCCGGTGCCCGGTGAGATTGGTGGCTTGAGCGGCTGCGCGGCTGCGACCGTGACCGGGCGCCGCGTGACGGCGAAGCGCTCCTGGCTGGGGGGCGCCCGAGGTGCGTTCGCAGCGGGGCCTGGGCAGCCGTGTCGGTACTTTGGCTGGCCGTGGACCCCACGCTCCACGACCTTCTGAAGGGGCTGACTGAGCCCCGGGCGGCAGGCGCTTCCGGCCCAGCGCGCCGGGGATGGCAGGCGAGCTCGAGGAGGACTGCAGAGATATCGAACATATGCTTGCACCTGTCGGTAGCCATCTCGGCAAAAGAATTTAGGCTTCCCCGATCCGTCTGGTATGTCTGTTCGTCGGGACAGTGTGCTTGCCTGGGTGGTCTGAGTGCCTCGTCATTCTGTCTGGTCTGTCTGTCCTGCCGGTTTCACATACGTGCCAAACTGGTTTTTTCTGGCGTGTTTATGCCGTGTGCCATTGAGGTGTGTACGGTCCAATTGTGCAGTCAAGTGTGTCATGTTTACATAATATTTCTGGTCGGCCTGTCTTTTCTGATATATCTCGTCTTTCTGGTCTGCGCGTCTTGAGTGTGATTTGATATGTCTCGATCGGCTTGTTATTGCATTGCTGGTTCGGTGTGGTCCGCCTGGATATTTATGGTCTCTGTCAGTATGTTGCATTCCAGCCTCATTGTCTGTCTGGTTTGGTCTCGCGTGTTCTGCAGTTCTGTTCTTGTTCTGGAATACAGTATTGGTCTGCTTGGCGTTCTTTGTGTCATGTGGCCTGGTATGTTCAGTGTTGCTGAATGTGGTATGCCCGGTCTGATCCGACCTGTCTGATGTGATCGTCATGTTTGGTGGCCCTTGTGCGATTCGATGTTCTCATTCTCGAAACCGTTATGATGTAATATGGTTTATTCTGGTCTCGCCAAGGATTGCTTCACCGCGTTTGTACGCCTCCACATCTTCAGGTTTCTCACTACCATCGTATCCTTCTCGGTCTCTTTCTCGTTATAAGCCTCCTCCGCCGTCTCCCCCCTTTCAGATGTCACCAGGCCTTCAGGGGGGGTGTTGGACCAGTCTTGCGATATCGTTGGTGTTTTTCTGTGTCAGATCTTTGGCTGTCTTGGGGCGTCTTGATGCGGTGTTGGCTTGTCTTGGGGCCGCCCGCCCTTGCGCCCTGCAGGAGTCACCGTAGATTGATTGAAGGCCTTCTGGTGCTGCCTGGGGGGCTCCCAAAGGCATTATAAAAAAAAACATCACGGGCCAAGACGACAAGCAAGCCAAAGAACCAGGGAATGACATAGCCTTCGAATATGTTGGGTCTCGCACAGTTTTTGTTTCTATCCTTCTGCCGTTGTGTGTCAGGGTGCCTGTTCGTGGTAACGTCGTTTCAGTCCGGTACCTTATTGGTCCCATCGGGCAGCCCCAGGACGGTGCGAAATCGTCTAGGGGAGTCGTGGGAGCATTGAGGGGCCAGCGCGACCGCTCGAAGCGCAAGTCCAGCTGTCACGGTTCAGGGGTTATACAGTCACCAAGAAACGCTGCTCGAGGACGATCCAGACACGAAGTGGTACAGCGCGGGAACCATGCCCCTCCCGTGTTGAAGTAGTCGTCCCCCAGAAAGGTTTTGGCAGATCAGGCATCTTGCGCGTCTGTGGCCCCAACGGGTCGGCGAACTTTGGTGAATGCGTTCGCGGATGCACAAGAAGGTCCTCTAGGCCTCGCAGACGGGGTCGGAGCAGATGGGGTCGGGGGATCGCGCCGCATCGCCGATGCATCGGCGATGTGGAGCCCAATGTTCTCCACGCCGATGTCGCCGATGCATCACCGACGTCGCCGATGCATCGCCGATTCATCGACGATGCGGGGTGGTCTTTCGACCCTAACTGCTCGGACCCCATTTGAGATGCCTCCAGGTCCGCAGAATCCTGATCCTGGGTGCTACCTGAAGATCGCAGATGCTAGCAAGTGCCACGACCCGGACCTGGCCGCGCCGTACGCAGACTGGGCCCAGTCTCCCTCTTCGTCTCCCTGGAGCACCCACGGGAAGGGCGGGCTGCCGTCCGCAGCGAGGTGCAAGGTGGCGGGAAACGAGTTGGACATCAAGTGCAAGTTCAAGTTTGGCACCGTTCAGACCTTCTTCAAGCGAGCCAGAGACAGCAGCGACAGATTGCCGAGCACATTCCCGAGGAAGGACTACCTTGCAAAGAAGGCCTCGCTTGAGGCAGGCCGTCTGCACGAGATGCGTCTGCACGAGAGCGCGCGGGCACGGACGGATGCCAAGAGGCAGGCGGAGGAGAAGGCAGCAGCTGTTGCGGAAGCCAACAGGCAGGCGGAGCAGGCGGTCCTCCTCCTCCGCCTCCTCCTCCTCCTCCTTCTCCTCCTCCTCCCCCCCCTCATCCTGCTGCTCCTCCTCCTCCTCCTCCCCCTCCTCCTCCTCCCCCTCCCCCTCCTCCTCGGGCTCCGGCGGAGAAAGCGCAGAATATTTGCTCCCAGGGCTGGGTGAGGGAGCCCTGGTGCTCTGGCTCCGTGCGCCTCATGCGCAGCAGGAGGCGAGGGCTAGCCAGACTGCGGCGCAAGCTTGCCCCCAGCCGCAGCCAAGGCGCTGAAGCCATGACCGATGGGGTCCTGGAGGGGCTCTGGCTTGCGGGCCACTCCTCAGATCTGGATGGGGGAAGCTATTCGTGGCCGTGGCCGGCTGGCTCGGGAGGCCTCCGCGTTCCTTGTTCAGCGTCCCTTATGGTGGCACGATTGTTGTAACACATGTGAGCGGCGACAGGTGCGCTAATACGTGCCGAAGACGGTTCTGGGACATGACAAACAAGCTTCAAATGTTCCAAGGGCAGCTCAGGAAGGCTTCCACATTGCCCAAACGCGAACATCCCCGTGTTGGGCCCAATCCCCTATCCGCGCATTGTCTATTTCAGGCGTGCGCCTGGGTGGGTTGGAGTTTCGTCTCGGGGTCCCAGATGGGCCCACAGTTGTCATAGACGGAGCAGAAATACACATGCCGAAAAATGTCATAGATGGTTTCGACCAGCGGCAATTCGAGGCGCCCAGGTGACCCCAAACCATGCGAAAATCATCCAGCCGAGAAAACATTGTTTTACTTGTTTTGCACACTCCGACTTGTAATTAGGCCAAGTTGGGCCGATTAGGCACTCGTGGGGTCTCAAATGGCCGATCTTGTAGGCCCAAGGCGAGGATCATGAGAGGCCAACATGGATTGGACATCGACCCTAAAAGCTTGTTTGGAAGAATCTAGAATTCAACCGCGTCGGGGACGACATCTTGCTGCCGTCTGCGGCTCGAAAATAGGGAGCGTAGCGGGCGACCGAATGGCGGATCCTGCTGTGGGAAATTGAAGACCAAGGTCTTGCAGCAAAGTTACCGAAGCTCAGTTCCACACGCCCCTCAGCCAGGTTGGCTGGCGGATTCAAGATGCTTCGCGTTCACCGCCTGCCCTTCTCACTTCTCGCCGGACGAGCCGGGTATTGTTCCAGGACGGACTGACCGTGATCCAATGCGTACCCGAAGGAGGCCAACATCAACCCCAAAAGGATTCAAATGAGCTAGAGATTACCCAGGAGACCCCCTATGGGTAAACAAGATGCGCCAGAAGTGCCCGACGGGTTTCAGGATGGCTGTCAGACGGCTCAAGCGCGAGCGTCCCCGTATTGTGCCCGCGCCAGAAACGAAGGTATCCCGCCCTGGGCCCAGACTGGGGCTGGTGTGGGCCCCATGTTTTGACACAAGTGTGGGCCAGACTCGTCCAAACATGTATCCGGGCGCGCATCCAAAACTGCATAGCAATTCGAACGGTAAGAAATCCCTCCACTTTTTCCACGTGGCCCGCGGTTTGCGCCGAGACCCCACAGGGATTTTTTTTGGAAGGGCCAAACCGAGCTTGAACATTTGGCAGGCCAAGCATATTGTTGCACTCAAAGGGGGCGGCGGATCTCATGGCCGTCGGCCCAACCCGCCAGTTTGGTGCCTCTCAGGGACGTTGAGCAGGAGGATGACTGCTGTAGTGGAGTACCGGAGGTGAGGGAGTGTGAGACTATGAGCCTCGAATTCGATTTCGAACGTCCGGCCTTATTGCTCAACTTAGTATGGTGGGTCCTCCAGGGGGAAGCTCGCCCGAGCACTCGTAGTGATTGTGGAGGGTATGGCTTGCGAACGTGTGCGACGAACATGTGGGCCCCCGTTGTGTCTGAAGCAATGTTGCCATGGATCGTGGTCCTGGGAGCGCGAGTCCAGAGCAGCGCGTACCCGGCATTTTACGAGGGGCCGTCGTTCAAGCGCAACGCGACACGCTTGCGGAGCTAAGAGTTTCGGCAGGACTGTCTCCGAAGGTGTAAAGTAGGAAGGCGTCCATGACAGCATTGATATACCAGGAACACGGGTGCTCTTCTATCATGTGTTCGGCAATAGTCAGGAGTGGGTGGGATCGTCTCGCGCGCGGGATCGCGTCGTACGCCTGGCTTGCTCGGACGGCGAGCTCACTGTGCAGTGGATCGTACTCCGTATGGCACAATCGTAGGGGGGGGGGCACTGACCTTCCGACGGAGCGTCCCCCCCCGGTGTAGCTTTGCTGCCCACAGGCGGCGGAAGACCAGAGGCAGGCGGAGGAGGCGGCTCGGGCGGAGGCGGAGGCTGAGGCCGCGAGGCAGGCAGAGGAGAGGTCTCGGGCAGAGGCAGCGGCCAACGCGCAGACCCCCCGTTCCGCCCCTCAACGCGCGTCAACAATTCTGACCCCCCAACCTGGCCCAGGAACGCGAGCTTCAGAACTGCCGTCCCCCCTAATCTTGCCCCGACGGCACGCGCCCGGCCCCCCCGAACCCAGGGGGCGGCGGGCGGGGCGATCATTGTGCCATCCGGAGTAGATCTCCAGGTCGGCCGGGCGGGCGCGACGATGAGCGCGCTTCGCGAGGGCGCGGGCCATGGGCCAGGGCGGCTGTCCGTCCTCACGTTTTTTTTTTGCCCCAAATCGGATCGAGCGATCCTCGCGGCCATGCCTGGTTCACACATCCTGGCGGGCGTGGTCCGAACACTCCGCAAGCCGCAACGGCAAGGTGAAGATGTCACGGATTACCTCCACGGGGGTGGCGCCAGGGCGCGGAGAGGACCCCGCCTCGCGGGGCGCGATAGTATACAGCCGGGCATGTCCCTCTATGGGGAGCAGATTCAACAAATAGTTGTTTTTGAATGGTATGGGTCCCATACCATTCAAAAACATCGTTCCCATACTATGGGAACGATGTTTCGACGGTTTCTACAATTTTTGAGCCTTCTTGGACTGTTCACAATATTTCGTCCAAAACCCGCCTGTGAGAGGACATGCCCGACCTAAGCCTAGTATCGGCACGAGCGACATGGGTACGGAAAGGACGGGTCCAATGCCCAGCAACGGTTCTTGAACAGGGCTCGCTGCGGGCGCCATCACGAGCGTTGTCCATTTGAGACGGAAGGCCGCCTGCCCAGCAGCGCAGCCTCTTGCAGATTTGAGCTTTGAGCTCTGAGCCCGGTGTAGCTTTGCTGCCCGCAGGCGGCGGAAGCCCAGAGGCGGGCGGAGGAGGCGGCTCGGGCGGAGGCAGAGGCCACGAGGCAGGCAGAGGAGGCGGCTCGGGCGGAGGCGGAGGCCACGAGGCAGGCAGAGGAGGCGGCTCGGGCGGAGGCGGAGGCCGCGAGGCAGGCGGAGGAGGCGGCTCGGGCGGAGGCGGAGGCCGCGAGGCAGGCAGAGGAGGCGGCTCGGGCGGAGGCGGAGGCCGCGAGGCAGGCGGAGGAGACGGCTCGGGCGGAGGCGGAGGCCGCGAGGCAGGCAGAGGAGAGGCCTCGGGCAGAGGCAGCGGCCAACGCGCAGGCCGAGGAGAAGGAGGCCGGGTTCCAGAGGCTGGAGGAGGGATTCCAGGGCGCGGCGGAGGCGGGAGACAAGACGCTGGCGGAGGACGACATGCATGCCAATGAGCAGGAGGCCGGGTTCCAGAGGCTGGAGGAGGGATTCCAGATCGTCACGGAGGCGGAAGACAAGAAGGCGCTGGCCGAGGAGAAGGAGGCCGGGTTCCAGAGGCTGGAGGAGGGATTCCAGATCGTCGCGGAGGCGGAAGACAAGGCCACGGCCCAGGGCAGCAAGGTTGCTGATGAGCAGGAGACCGGGTTCCAGAGGCTGGAGGAGGGATTCCAGGTCGTGTCGGAGGCAGAAGACAAGAAGACGTTGGCCGAGGATCAGGAGGCCGGGTTCCAGAGGCTGGAGGAGGGATTCCAGAGCCTGGCAGAGGCCCAGGCAAATGCGGAAGCCGAGAGGCCGGCGGAGCAGACGACAGGCGCAGACGCCAAGAGGCAGGCAGAGGAGGCGGCGGAGGAAGGATTCCAGAGGCTAGAGGCGGGATTCCAAAGACTAGGAGAGGCGCAGGCGTAGGCATAGCAAGGACCAGCAACACGCAGGGATGGTTTCATTCAGGCAAGCTGCTTTTTGCCAGACGCTCACTCGCCCACTTGTAGCTACTTCGCCGCCCGCTTTTGACCACGCAGTTGAATTTGCGCTGGTGGAGGCGAAGGCTACCTATCCGACTATAACTGTGCGGTTGCCGATCAATCGCATCGGTATGCGTACGCGGCTGGCGACGCGATCCTGTAAACACCTGACTGGGACGAAAGGGGGATCCTCGCATGTGTTCATGGTCCACCTGCTGCTCCTCCTCCTTGAAGGATGGCTGTTGTGATATGCCAGTTGGTTCGACCATAGACGCGTGAGTTGTGCTGGTCCCCATGATGTCTTGCAGCACTCTATATGGAGGGACGGGGACTCGAGGGGGAACGATGACTGAAGTGAGTGGAATCGAATGAGGCATTGTGGGATCGAAGGGGTGTCAGAACGTACCACGAGTCCAGATGTGCATGACGCGGCTGGCCTGAGCGAGAGCTGGGTACACATGGGGCCAGATGCCTTTTCAGTCCTCGGCCCTTCTACGGCTGTGTACGCATCGCTTCCGCACGTGCACCCAACGTGCGATCTTTGGATGCTCCACATGTGAATTCAGCCGTGTGCGTTTCCAGAGTCCTGGTGTTGCTGCGGCTCGGGTCTCCCAATAGATCTCGCTCGGCGTCTGGGCCAGGGTTGGCCGCGGAATTGCTCCAACACGGCCGTGGGAATTTGGCAGGTTCGGCCGCCGAAGGGGCCCGATCTTGGCTCCTGGGCTGGCTACACGTAAGGGTGACCATTCAAAAGGATACGGAGGCGTAGACAGAGGGACTCTCGTGCTCTTTGGGGTTCAGGTCACGGTCGGCTGCATCCAGGGAGGGCGAGGAGAAGGAGGAGCCTCTTTGGTTTCCGCCGCCTCACGAGTATTCCTCATTTCCTCATGCTCCTCGTCTTTCCCCTTGTCCCTGGTGCTCCTCTCTCTACCGCTTCCCTTCCCTCCTCCTCCTCAAAATCGGAGGCCGCAGAACATTGGCCGCGGCACCGCCAGGCGCCATGGAGGAGATAGTACAGAACGCGGTATACGCAAAGGACGGCAAATGAGAGGAAGCTTGCCTCGAAGGTCAGAACTGGGGGACCTCCCGCCCCGTGGAGCTGTGGCTCCACGAATTTGGGAGGTACGTCGCCGCTTTGCTGCTCACGCAAGGGAACAGGATTGCAAGTTTTTTCAGAGGCAGGGGGCGCTCTATTTCAATTTCCGCATCCTCCTGCCGCTGAGGACCTACATGTCGATCGACGGGTAGGCAGTGTGAGCTCTCCAGTGATGGCTGCCCGCCGCCTCTCACCTGTTTCACGCTACCGCGAGGTTCACCCCCCCGGTTGGTCATATGTTCAACACCCCGTGCGGTTGCGCCTCGGGGTGTTTTGGTCTTCTCTGGGCCACTGTGCCCTCGCAGTCCTTGAGTCCTGGGTCTGTTCGTACCTTTTATACGTCGGTGCGCGTGACCCTGGGGCTTAACCTTCAGGCCCGCCAGGGCTCGTCAGAACCGCATGACCTGTACAAGTCGTCCGACGGGTGCACTGTCCCGAAATCAACGCGCCTGTGTGGTTCGCTTGAAATCTCACGAGTTTAACACGCTACTTCCATATGCGAGCATGCCGCCTGCTGTCCACTCCGCCCGGCTTTGCAAGGACCAGGAGAGATGCGGGCCCACAGTCGTGTCTTACTTACTCCTCCCCTTCATCCTGGCCTCCAGTCCCCCTTATTCCGCTTCTCTGCCCCCCCCAACACACACACACACACGCACGCACGCACGCACGCACGCACGCACGCACGCACGCACGCACGCACGCACGCACGCACGCACGCACGCACGCGCACGCACGCACGCACGCACGCACGCACGCACGCACGCACGCACGCACGCACGCACGCACGCACGCACACACACACACACACACACACACACACACACACACACACACACACACGCACGCACGCACGCACGCACGCACGCACGCACGCACGCACGCACGCACGCACGCACGCACGCACTCACGCACGCACGCGCGCACGCGTACCTCAGGAAGGGAGGTAGAGGAGACGAAGGAGGGCGAAAACAACGACGAGGAGGGAGACGAGAAAAAGGAGCACGACAAAGATGTGGAGGGGAAGGGCGAGGACGAGGAGGAGGAGGGGGGCCGGAGGAAAGCAGGTGAGAAGGGGGAGGAGGGGAGAAGAAACACGTCCAGGAGGAAGGGCAATGAAGGGTCCGCTTTCCTCTCTACATTTTTCCGACGAAGACGGGGAACTATAAGCGTGCATGGCACTGCTGATGTTGGTCATGCTTGCCCTCTCCCGCTCCCTCCCCGCGCAGACTCCCGCTCCCTCCCCGCGCAGAGCAGGCAAGCAAAACCCGGTCGAATCAAATCGGTTTGCGAACGGACGCGGGCAGAAAGCCATGGACTCGTGTGGGCGAGGGAAAATTAGCATGCTGAGTTTGGTCCACTAGTCTAGCGCGCAGCCTTCGGCCTGCGCACGCCACTTCCTCCGGTTCTGAACGGCGACGTACCATGGTTCATTGCACTTTGCAATCGAGTACTCGTGTAAGTGATCGAGCGAATGACACGCTGGACGACCTCGTCCACGGCCTGTTCCGGCATAGGTCGGAGGCGGGTTACAGCTTGAACCCCTGCAGTGCGCCCGGCTGTCAGTTGTCTGCCCAAACTGACTGGCGAAGCTGCAGTGCAGGTGGGTCAAACGTTCCCGCCAATTGTGCGCCGGGTAAGATATCAGAGCCCTGTCGACCAGGTCGTCTGCTCTACGAGTCGTGATTTTCAATTCGTCGTCAAACCGCACCCAGCCCACAATCAGGCGAAGGATGCGTCGTTGCAGAACGCTCAGCTGTTCTTTCTGGCGCGCCGTCAGGGCAAGCGTTGGCAAACATAACAACACCGTCGGTGTTACGACGGAATCGAAGAACTTGAGGCCACGATGGATTGACACTTGCCCGTCTGTTAGACTGCTCCGTCGCTCATAAGCCGGAAACGGCCGCCCCCCCTCGTCGTGTGTCTTCGCAGCGAGAAGATGTCGGGGCCAGGCAGCGGCGGAAGACGGTGGCATTGACGCGTGGCCGTGCTCAATTGTCGTGGGGTCGCTTAAGGTCTGAGCCGTCAAGCGACCGAAAAGTCAAGAAATACATGGCAGGTTCCGGAACGGAGCGGATATCCGCGGGGCCAGGAGGGAGGAGGGAGGCCCTTTCCTCCCATCTCGGCCGCGCGCAGTCAGGGAAGGGAGAGAGGGAGGGGTTTCTTAGAATCACCCTGCTTCTTAGAAGGCGCGGGCTTTGTCTGTAGATGTAAGTCGTCGGCGAGCGAGGACGGGAAGGGAGAAGGAGAAAGCCTTGTCAGAGGACGGCGGGGCTTCTCAGAACCCCCCGCGCCTTCTGAGGAGTTTCTGTTTCCTCGGGGGAGGCTTGGAAAACTTGTCAGAAGCCCGGGGGACTCCCGAGCCTTCGGAGGAGGCCTTCTCCTTCTCGCTTTCCGTTGGGGATCGCCGCCGAGCAAGGCCCGCGCCTCGTAAGAAGCAGCCTCCTTCGAAAAAGCTCTTCGCCCTCCCCCTGCCTTACTCTGCGCGCCGCCAAGGGAGGGTCCCGTTCCCCCTCCGTGGAGGTCACGGTCGGCTCCCTCCCTTGGGCCGGCGTGCCCGGTCCCGCGCCGGACGATGCCCCGCCGGGCTGGCCGCGCCCCCAGCGCGCGACCTCGCAGCCGTCTGCCTCCTCCGACTCCCAAACTCCCTGACTCGTCGCCTTTCTCCCTCCCTCCCCATCCTCCCTTCTCGTCCCTGCATCGTCCTCGCTCCTCCTCCCTGTTCCCTCTTCGCACGCGCAACTGAGTCTCGCACGCAAGTCCCACGCGCAAGCATGCCTGCCCACCGCCTCCCTCCTCCCTCCTCCCTTCTCCCCGTGTCTTTTCCCTCCTCCCATTCCGCCTTCCTCCTTCCATGTTTCCGTTCCCTCCTCCGTCCTCCCTCGTCCCTGTTCCTCCTCATTTTCCCTTGCCCTCCTTCCTCCTCCCTTTTCCTCCAACCAGCGAGCGGAGTCACTGTCATGGACCAAGGAACGTTGGCTTGTCTCGCTGGCACTATACACTATGTTTCGAGACGCCAAACTAAAAGCCGGCAGAGCTTCCGAGACATCTTAATGTTCAAGATGCGCATGTGAACAATGGGCGTGCGGTGCCTTGAGGAAGAGATGTCCGTTTAGCGCGGGGGGCCGCTGGATGGGCAGCAGGCAGGTCGCGGGCGGGTGCAGGGGCGATGACGACAACACAACAATAGTCAGGGTGAGGGGGCCGAACGGGCATTCACTGTCCCTGGGCGCGTGGCTGAAAAGAGGTTGTGCGGTGTGGTTCTGAGTGTCGTTGATGATGATCTGGTTGTTGCTGCTGTAGTTGTTGCTGTTGATGTTTTTTGATGTTTGCTGTTTGCTGTTTCTTGTTTGCTGTCGTCCCCCCCGCGACCCACCCCGCGACACACCCGCGATTCACCCGCGACACACTCGCGACACGGCCCGCGACCCACCCGCGACCCACCCGCGACCCCGCGACCCGCCCGCGACCCACCCGCGAATCACCCCGCGACCCGCCTGCGGCTCACCCCGCGATCCACCCGTGACCCACCCGTGACCCACCCGCTACCCACCGGCGACCCTGCCCGTGACCCACCCGCAACCCACCCGCGACCCACCCGCGACCCACCCGCGACCCAACCCCCGACCCACCCACATTGTTTTAACGAACAAATCGGCGCCTGCGGCGAGCTCGTTGTACGTAGCACCCCGCAGATGCGGATAAGCATGACGGGGCGGTGGGAACGTCGGCAGTTCGCGAGACTCTGGAGAAGCCCGCCGCAGGTGCCAAAGTTTCACAAATTATACAACGATCCCGCCGCAGGCGCTGATTTTCTCTTCGAACCAATGTGGATCGGTCGCGGATGGGTCACGGGTGGATCGCGGGTTTGTCGCAAGTGGGTCGCGGGTGGGTCGCGGGCGGGTCGCGATGGGTCGCGGGGTGGGTCGCGGTTGTGTCGCAGTTGTGTCGCTGGTGGGTCGCGGAGTGGGTCGCGGTTGGGTCGCGGGTTGGGTCGCGGGTGGGCCGCGGGGTGGGCCGCGGGGTGAGTCGCGGGCTGTGTCGCGGGGTGGGTCGCGGGGTGGGTCGCGGGGTCGGTCGCGGGGTGGGTCGCGGGTGGGTCGCGGGGGGGACGACGTCGACAAACAACAATCAACAACAACAACAGCAACAACAACAGCAAAATCAACATCAACAACAGCAACACCAACAACAACAGCAACAACAATAACGATAACAATAATGACAGCAACAACAGCAACAACAGCAACAACAACAACGCAACAAGCGTAATCCTCACCACGGATTCTCACTTCAGCCACGCACCCAGGGACAATGAATGACCGTTCGGCCCCCTCACTCTGATAATTTTTGACAAGATAGGCGCCTGCGGCGGGCTTCTTCAGAGCCTTGCAGACTGCCGACGTCCCCGCCGCCCCCTCCCTCCTTATCCGCAGCTGCAGGGTGCTGCGAATGCGCACGGCGGATTGCCGGACCTTGGGGATGCCGATCGCTGTTGCCCCTTCTCCTTGGCCGAAGCAGCAGCGGTTGCGTGACGTCATGGCACGCTTGCCCCCCCCCTCGTTGAACCTCGCCGAGTTCTCCTCTTCTTTCTGGCAAGGGGAAGAGCCTGGCCGACGGGGCCCGCGCGGCGCCTCCTGGGGGCTCCGGGCGAGGGTGTGAGGCTGGTGCGGGGCCCGTCCGGGGGGGGGGGGGGGGAGACCACGCTTGGTGACGCTCGGACGTGTGCATTTTTTCTCGGCGGGGATTACTGAGGAGCATCCTGGACCTTCCTGCGAAAAAGCCACGCACGAAACCGAAAAAAGCACAGGGAATGGACGTCCGAGCGATGGCCAGCACGGGGCCGGTGGGGGCGGGGGGCCAGGGCCCGTCGCCGTGCGGGCCACCGGTGACGCTGGTCTGCGTTGCGCAGAACTTGCACGTACAGCAAAAGTGCGCCAGCGGTCGTCCTTTTTTTCTCGTTCCACATTCCATCAATGTTCCAATTTTGCGCAAATCGGCGCATCCTTCGATTCCCACTGATTTTTCGCTTGTCCTTGCGCGATTTCGGCGCCTGCGGCGGGCTCGAGATGTTTTCCAACTCGCAGCGAGCCGCGCCGAACCCAGACCAGCACCTCACTCCTCATTGTACCCGCATCTGTTGTGGAGAGGCTCGTTTCCGATTGCTGTGAGCCCATGGACCCCCCTCCGCCCTCCCTCCTCCATCTCCCCCCTCGCCCCAGACCAGCATCATGGTTTGTTTACAATGGCCATCCCTGGAGGTCTCGACCTGTTTAACAATACCGATATTTCATCATGATTCGTATTCGCTGGTCGGGGGAAATTGCTCCCACCTAGCCAGCTTTCCATCTCCGCCCGCAATGTGACCCTGGAGGCAAAGAAACCCAGAACACCTTCTCGAACCTCGATCCTCGAGTCCCTCCCCCGACGTCTACGACGACGGCGACGAGGGCGACGATAACTGGCGACCAACGACCGACGACGAACAAGGGCCAGATGAGCCCCTTCGTCCCTTATTCAGCCTTTGTTTTGTGTTTGAGCTGGTCGATCTTGACGAACTCGAAGGAGACACTGCACATACATAGACTCTCAGAGGTCCGCCTGGACTTCCAGAAGTTCATATTCATGACATCTCGCATTCGTATACGAAGGCCTCCGGAAGCACCTCGAGAGCCCTCCGAATGCCTCCCACGACCCCGGCGACGGTGGCGACGTCGACGGCGGCCGGTGTGTCCTCCTGGCCAGTTTCCCATCCCGCCCAGCATGGGCCCCTGGAGGCATGGAAACACGGCACGCCTAATCCAGCCTCGATCCTCGAGCTTCGCCTTCTCGACGGCGACGCCGACATACGATCGCATGCGAGTTCTCGCCCCCAGTCCGCGGGTCCCCCCCTCTCGAAAAAGCAAGCCGTTGAGGAAAGACTGGGGAACTCGGGAATACACCCCTCGGGTGGCTTCTCCGACGCACCCCCTGCGTTCTAGGACTCTCACACGGGGTGCGAGCAGATGGGGTCGGAGGATCGCGCCGCATCGACGATGCGGCTCGATGTGTAGCCGAATGTTCTCCACGTCGACGTCGCCGATGCAGTGCCGACGTCGCCGATGCATCACCGATGCATCGGCAATGCGGCGCGATCCTCCGACCCCGCATTTTCAGAACACGTCGAGGAGGCCTCTGCTCATGAGGACGGACGACACCGTCGTACATCCCTTTTTTGTTTTTGTCATTGGGGTCCAGTCCGGAGATTGTGGTCGCCATCCCCGCCGTCACGGAGGCCTTCGAAAACCGCCGACGGCGGCAGCGACGAGTACGCTGATCGGTTGCAACTTCTGGAATGTTGCATTCGGCAGTCACGCTGGTATATCCGTGGTCGCAGGCGACAACTTCTCCTACCGACGACGACGACGACGACGACGACGACGCCGACGACGACGCCGACGCCGACGCCGACGCCGACGCCGACGCCGACGACGACGCACGCAGTCGCCGACGCCGACGCCGACGCCGAAGACGCCGACGCCGACGACGACGACGACGACGACGACGACGACGACGACGCCGACGCCGACGGTGACGACGGCGACGACGCCGACGGCGACGAGGCCCCGTTGGCAGCGCGAGCGGCGTCCGCGGGCCGAGGCAGCGCGCCCTGCGCGAGGACCGCGCCGCCCGCGGAGAGGGCGCCGCTCCCGCAAGGCGGGCTGCCGGGGGGGGGCCTCTTGTGGGCGATGGCGGGCTCACAGCTCATCCTCCTCCTCCTCCTCCTGCATCTCCGCCTCCTCCTCCCTCCTCCCTCCTCCCTCCTCCTCCTCCTCCGCCTCCTCCTCCCTCCCTCCTCCCTCCTCCTCCCTCCTCCTCCTCCTCCTTCTCCTCCTCCTCCACCTCCTCCTCCAGCCCCTCGGAGCATCGAAGATGAAAGAACACCATAAACATAGATTCTTGGCGCTCCGCTCGGGTTTCTTATATCTGCGATGGGCCCCCCGGCGGCGCCCCCCGGCGCCGCCCCTGGCGCGCTCCGAGCGAAAGGAAGGAGCCTCCATCGTAGATCCGAGAGATCCGCGCGGAGCGCCAAACTTTTATGCTCATGCCTACTCAAGAGGTACATCCTCCAGGCATCCCAGACGGGGTCCGAGCAGATGCGGTCGAAGGATCGCACCGCATCGCCGATGCAGCGCCGATGCGGCTCGATGCAGAGCCCGATTTGCTTCGCGCCGATTGCGCCGATGCATCGCCGACGTCGCAGGTGCATCGCCGATGCGGCGCGATCCTCCGTCCCCGCCCAATCGTGCCTCATCGAGGAGGCCTCTATCCTCGCGGCAGAAGGCAGGGCAACGAGATCTGTTCACATCCACTGTCCCTGGCCTGGCCCATCCTGGGCCCAGGAGCGGCGTCTGGGCACCCCTGGCCAAGCCAGGAGGGCGTCTACACAAATCTCCTTGGCCTGGGATGGGCCCAGGCCGGAGACAGCAGATATTCATGGGCCCAGTCGCCCTAGAGGCTCCCAAAGAGCTGCACACTGGTTCGGTACGATCGACATGGGTGCGGAAAGAGTTGGTTCGGAGACCGACCGCAGTTCCCGTTTGTATTTAACCCGAGTTGCTGTCAGTGCCGCCGCGGCCGGTGTCCGTTCGAGACAGAAGTCCGCCTGCCCAACAGCGGCCGCTGTCGGAGTTTGGCAACCTGTATTGTCTGGCATTGTGCCGAAGAGTTCCGCACCAGGGCTGGACCCCAACGGTGTGTTTTGGCGATCTCGTGGGCCGTTTTCGTTTCGATTTTTCGTTCTGCGGCAGAGGTGGACTGAAGATCAAAAGAGGGAAAACGAAAACGAAAACGAAAACGAGGGAAAACGAAAGATTAAAAAGAGGGAAAACGAAAACGAAAACGAAAACGAGGGAAAACGAAAACGAAAACGAAAGATTAAAAAGAGGGAAAACGAAAGCCAAACGAGAACGAAAAACACCGTTTAGGTTCCGCCCTGTTCCGTACCACAGTGTCGGGTGTCCAGCACTGGGGGGCGCAGACGGAGGTGTCTATAGAGCGACGTGGAGAGGGAGTACGGGGGAGAGACAGCGGGACAGACCACGGGGGACCCGAGCGAGGCAGCGGGTGGCCACGGGAGACAGCGGGACAAACGGAGACAGCGGGGGCACGGAAGACCGCGGGAGACAACTGAGAGGCAGCGGGAGACAGCTGGAGACAACGGGAGGCAACGGGAGACAACTGGAGACAACGGGAGACAACGGGAGACAACTGAAGACAACGGGAGACAACGGGAGGCAACGGGAGACAACTGGAGACAACGGGAGACAGCGGGAGACAACTGGGGGCACGGAAGACAGCGGGAGACAACTGGAGACAACGGGAGACAGCCGGCGCCCGACCGACGCTTCCGGCTCATGAGAAAAACCGTATAGGCCCCTTACAGACAAGCTGCCCATGGGGAACGTCATATCTATCTATGTATGTATACATACATAATTGTATATACGTGTGTGTATACAAACATACATGCATACATACATACAGACATACACGCATTCATGCATACATACATACATCCATACATCCATACATACATACATACATACATACATGCATCAATCCATCCATCCATTCATCCATGCATGCATGCATGCATCCATCCATCCATCCATCCATCCATCCATACATACATACATACATTCATTCATACATACATACCTACATACATACATACATATATGCATACATGCATGCATGCATGTATGCATACATACATACATACATACATACATACATACATACATACAGACATACATACATATATTTGTTGCCAGAGATGGGCGCGGATATCATACATTTGCGCTTGGCCCTCCTGGCTGCGCCTCCGGCGCCCTTTCTGGCGCGGTCCGCGCGCCGGGGAGGGGGGCCCAGTGCCGATCATGTCTGTTTATGATGTTTTCTGCGCGTCTCTCACTGTAGCCCCAGGGGGGGGGGGGGCAATTTGGGATCGCTCCTCCTCTATCCTCCCCCGTTCCTTCCCTCCTCCACCCCATCCGGATGAACGCCAGCGCGTCAAGCACGGAGGACGAATGGAGGTTCAGGGTGGTGCCACTGGGAAGCCGGGCCTACTGAAGGGCGGCCTCGCCTTCGAGTACCAAAGGAGTTGCTATTCCTTCCTCGGCGGGAGGCGGCGGAAGGGCGGCGGAAGCCAGCGGGAGCAGAGCGGGAGCGGCCTTGCCAGCGGAAGTTGGTGCGGCGGAAGCGTGGAGTCGCAGCGCAGCTCCACCCTCGGGCTCTCGTGCTCCTGCCCTGGGCGCTTCCGTCTGAAGTGCAGCGTTTTCGATGCGCCGTTGTCGTTGGGCTTCGGTTTAGGCCCCACGCGAAGCGCCCCGATTGAGGGTTCTTGGGCGCAGTGCCCTGGGCAAAGAGCAACGCAGGCGGAAGGTGGCCGAACCCAAACACGCGCCTCTAAGAGACGACAACATGTTTGGGTGCAGGGTTTCGGGAATCGGCCGTCTCGCCTCGAGTCCTCCTCGGGCACGAGGCGGCCGAAGTAAGAGACGCGCCTTCAGGAGACGACCACGTTGTGGGGTTCCTCGGGTCAGGGTTGCTCGAGTCGGCCATCTCCCCTCGAGTCCTCTTCCCTCCTCCTCCCCAGCAGCCCCCATGGGCCCTTCCCAGGAGGCCCCGTGCCCTCTCCGAGAATCAGGGGGGGAAACACCGCACAGACATAATGAATCATCGATTCCCCAGAACATATAAGAAAACATGGGAAGTGGAGGGAAAGATAAAAATCCAGAAAATATTAGAAAAGATTGGGAACCCTGTGTGTGTGTGTGTGTGTGTATGTATTTGTGTGTCCCAGGGCCCCGTCAGAGAAGCCCGCCCGCCTGCTCGGAGCGTGCCGCTCCCCTCGCGCCGTCCCGCGGGTGCGCGGCACCAGCTCCTGTGGACGAGGAGGGGGAAGAGGAGGAGGAGGAGGAGGAGGAGGAGGAGGAGGAGGACGAGGACGAGGACGAGGCGGAGGAGGAGGAGGAGGAGGAGGAGGGAGGAGGAGGAGGAGAGGAGGAGGAGGAGGAGGAGGAGGAGGAGGAGGAGAGGAGGAGGAGGAGGGGGAGGAGGAGGAGGAGAGGGAGGGAGGAGGACGAGGAGGAGGAGGAGAGGAGGAGGAGGAGGAGGGAAGTGGGGGGAGGGAAGGCGGACTGGGAGGTGGAGGACGAGGAGGAGAAGAAGTAGGAGGAGGAGGAGGAGGAGGAGGAGGAGGAGGAGGAGGAGGAGGAGGGATGAGGACGAGGAGGGGGAGGGGGAGGAGAAGGGTTTCGACCGGGTCGGCACGACCGGATCGGTGGGATCGGGCCAAGGAGTCGACGACACGTAAGAACGACCTTTCGGGGGAGCGATTTTTGGTGCGGGGCCCTGGGATCGCCGAACGCGGTGCGATGGGTGCGTCTTGCGCGCTGGGGTTTCGCCCCCCCCGCGGTTGCCCGAAAGTCGTGCACCAGAGGTCACTCTTGTCTAGCGCCATTCTGGCGTGTAGCCGAAAAGAGCGGCGTGCCTGCGGGAGTTCTCACCAAAATTCGATCCACAGGGCCAGCAATACCATCCATCCTGGGCCTTTCGGGGTGGCGTGCAGACCCTAGTCGTTCCCACAGGGCCACAGTAGCTGTTCATTGGGAATATGTGCGTACTCGAGCGGGGCAGAGGTCGGGGGTGCCCTCGAGGTCAACCTCATGCGCGCCTTGCACGAGTGCTCGCGGGACCGACGTTCGAGCGGATCTTTGCCGATTGCTGTGTTCATGCGCGTTGCTTGTGCAGCCCGTGGTGCCCTGGCGGCGCGCTCATTCTCGCCAGAGTGCTCTCGTTCAACGCTGTCCCAGCGAGGAGGAGGAGGAGGAGGTAGAGGGGTGAGGGGGAGGAGGAGGAGGAGCAGGAGGAGGAGGAGGAGGAGAAGGGTGGGGTCTGGACCAGCCGCTGCATTGGCGGCGTTCATTGAGTGCCTCTCCTACCCCCCCCTCCTCCACATCGTGTGCTGCACATCCGAGGCGGATGACTCTGCCCTTGGATCCTGAGTATAGGCTTCTAGCTCGAGTCTGCAGGTACGTAGCCAGCGAGCGGGTGAGCGAGCGAGGAGGAGGTGGACAAGCGAGGATGAGGCAGAGGAGGGCGAGGAGGGCGAGGGCGGAAGGCGGGCGGCTCTCCCTCGAAATGACGCGGTCTTCCCAGATGACCGCCTCCAATGTCGTTCGTTTTTTCTCGAAGGTCCTCGGCACGTTCCATTTGGTACGTATTCCCAAGATGTGTTCCCAGACTTCCCACGTCAGAGCAGGGAGCTCAGGAGCACGTGCCGTCTGCATCGCTTGCCGTCCGCTTTCGGTAGCCGGCCCCTGCTGCCACCCCGCAGTGCCGCTGGCGACGACGCCGAAGCGACGCCAGCGCTGCCCTGGTTCGTGCCAGAGGATCGAGCGGACGGCAGCGGGAGGGGGTGGGGAGCAAAAGCGCCAGAGGGAGAATCGCGCAACTTTCCGGCACCTGTTGGGCGCCTGGGGGCGTGAGTGGAGATCTGTGGAGTTGAGAATGCACAGGGGCTGAATTTGACCCAGGCCCTGTTCCGAAGAACCACCTTGATCGTGGCGCACGCCTGTCGCCTATCTTTGGGTCGCCCTCTACGGCGACGACCGCTCGTTCTTTCGTTCGTTCGTTTCGGCGCGGGGTGGCAGGTTTAGGAGCCACTCCCTTGCACTCCTCCTTTGCCCCTCGTGCACCGCCAGCAGCACACACTGACACCCCCAGATGCCCATCACCGCGGCAGCGTCTGCGGTTGGGATTGTCCGGTTACCGTGCCGCGCCGCTGGTCCTGGCCCGCCACGCTCCGGCACGACGCGCTAACCACCGACCAGCTCCCGAACATCAGCGCCCAAAGAAGTTCCCTGCCTCCCGCTTCTCGTAGCGGGCCGAAGTGCCATCCGCTTGCAGGGGATGGCGTGTCACCGGGGCCGCCGCCGCGACACGCGAAGTCCAAGTTCCCGACCGCAGCACCCATGTCCAAGGGATGACGTGTGCCTTTGCCGAGGCGTGTTCGTAACACCAGCCCGCGAAGACCGATCACTCTCACACAGGATGACAGCCTCACAGCGCCGACAGCGTCATGCGACTGCAGGGGTGGCAGGGCCGCTCGTTGTTTGGGGTCGAACTGCTGCACTTCAGGGTCCACTCCGGAGCACGGGCGGCGTCTGAGGCCGCTCGGCCGCCGAGCGGACTCACGATCGAGCGAATTCGGCCGCCGAGCGGGCGAGATTCCCGAGATCATCTAGGGTGTTATGCCCGTTCGGATGCAGGTACGGCTGCCGATCGGGCTCACACGCCGAACCCATAGATCCGATGTTCTGGTTTGCTGAATTTCAAGGGCACAGAGAACGCCCCTACCCTGGTTTTCGAGGCGCCGTGCGCTGAAACTCCTGTGGGGCTGACAGGGCAAACCATGCGTGATGTTCCGCGTCTTGGCGGCTCTAGGCTTTGGGGGGTCCCAGGATGTTTACAGACCACACACGTGTAACCCAGGGCAGGCTCGTTTTTCCACCCCTCAATAATACGGGGCTCCCATCAGTCGTGACCCTTTCCCCAGGGTTGGTTGTCTACGCCCCTTGTATCTTCTGTCGACGGTCATAGAGGCCCAGCGGGGGGCCCCAGAGACCCAACATTGATACATGATCCGTATTGCGGAGGCCTTACGGCCGATGCCGCCGACCCTGTAGGCAGCGACGACGAAGACAATGGAGGTATAGGAGCCCAAGATGCCCTCATATGGCTCGAAGACGGCGCCAGATGCCTGCCAGGTCGTCCGAGGATAGCTCAAGAGGCTTCTTCCAGGGTTCGACGGTCATGGGGCCCAGCGGGGGACCCCAGAGACCCAAATTTGATGCAGGATCCGTAGTTGTGTTCGGAACGTTTGAGGTCTGGGAATGGGCGCAGAACGGAACCGTGCTTGGATCACCGCGGGGGGTGCTCAGGGAAGGAGGGTGATGAGTCGATGTCAAGGGAGACTTGTATCTGGCCTAGTCTGGCGTACAAGTGGGTTACAATTGCCCTACCTGGTTCAGGGGGTTCAAGAAGGCCGACAAGAGCGCGGAGCCGACGTAGCCCCAATTCTTAGTCAACAAGCTTGCGCAGGGCATTTGTAGCCCATTCATACCCTAGTTTCGACCATGTACGCGTGCCGCGCCGACGGTTCTGTCCCACCTCGGTTTGGCGCGACACGCTCATCGCACCCGCTTTCCCAAACATCAGCGCCCCGAGCCTTCCCCAGCCTCCGGCGGAGCGGAGCGACACGCTCGCAGCTCGTAAGGCATGGCGTGTCGTTGGGGCCGCCGCCGCCACGAGACGCTGAGCAAAAGTACTTTACCGCATAGTCAGCCCTTAGGTCCGCATGCTACCCTCTCATGGCCACAGACATCCAACGATGTGTGTGTGGGTGTGTTTTATCCGCGGCCCCAGAGGCCAAAGGTCCCGACCCCGTCGCTGGTAACAGTCTTTCTTCCCAGTTTCATGTTTGAGCGCCCAGTCCTGAAAACGGTCCCCAGAGGGCGCACTCGAGAAACAGCTGCGGGATTGAAAGCATGGTATCGTCGTTGATCCGGGATGGCATCCGCATTTAACAATGTGCAAGTGGTCGATTAATGGAGAGGAAGCATGCTGCCAAATAATTTCCAGATGTCTAAGCAATGCTTCAAACATGCTTTAAACACGTGAAAGCATGTTTGCAATAGTTGTTAAAGCATGTTTTACGCAAATAAAGCACACATACTGAATGCAATGATGAGATTGTTGAAGGGTCCACTGGCATGGCATCCACAAGTGCAACCCCCCTCTCAACCCCTCGCGGACGCCCTCCCTGCCAGGAGCTGGAGCTCGTCAGCCTCAGCGGGTGCCTGCCGGTGTCCGGGACCTCGTTCCGCGCTGCCGGCAGAGGCCGGCCGCCGGCCCGCCGGGGGGCGGACGCCGGCGACGCTGCCGTCCAGAGGCAGCCCATCTCGGCGGCCTCGAGGTTGGCACTAACCTCGTGGAAGGTCGCGGGCGATGTTTCTCCCCCAATCCCCGAGTCTCGCCCGAAAAGTTTGGCCGCTCAGAAAAGTGGGAAAACCCGGGGATACACCCCAAGGGGGCTATTCGGACGCACCGCTATCGAGGATGGACACCCCGCCATCGTATATCCCAGGGTTGGGCCCAAATTTCTGGTCCATTCGGAAACCCCACGAAGCCTGGGATAGGGGTCGACATATCGCCTGTTAGAAGGCGATCAAATGGAGAGGAAGCGTGCTGCCAAATCAGTCCCAGATGTCCAAAAGATGTTCCACATATGCTTTACATATGTTCACAACATGTTGGACACATGTTTAGAACATGTTGTGCACATTTGAGACATAGCTTCAATTCAACGATCGGATTGTTAGAGTATCCACGGTCATGGCATCCACAACACTAACATCGAGGACAGATGATCACGATCTCGGTGATGGTGGTCATACTCGGGCCCCTGAAGCATTCGAAAACCCCAAAAAGTCTAGGATCACATTTCCCGACAGGAGGCGCTGCCTTGTCTTGGTGCGGGTGCCAAGTCCTGGGCCTCCGAACAAGGGCTACGCGCGAGAGTGCCCCTTGGCGGGAGTGTCCTGTGGTATAGGGGGGCCAGGGGCGCACGCCGACGACGCCGCCGTCCACAGCCAGCCGATCGAAGTCGGTACGGAAAGACTGGTTGCGAAGACCGACAGCAGAGTTTGTGCCCCTTTTGAGCAGGACTCGCTGTCGGTGTCGCCGCGGACGTTATCCATTTGAGGCAAAACGTCGCCTGCCCAACAGCGGGCGCTGTCGGTTTGGGATAACCTTCGATGCTGGGCATCGTGCCGATTCTTTCCATGCTCACGTTCTCGGGCGTTCACAATCCAGAGGCAGTCCATCGCCTACGCGTAAACAGCGTCCCTTCGCAGGGGAAGACCTTTCGGCTCGAAGGGAGAGAGCACATAATAAAGCTAATCAGTCGGAGGTCCGTGTTGCTTATTCGGATCGGCGCTTGGCTTACCTGGCGGCACCTCTGGCGCTTCCGCTGGGGCGCTCCGCGCGCCCAAGCGGGGTAGCCATGGATAGAGTCCAGCGCCGATCCAAGAAATTTGGTTGGACCGCCGAAAGTCTATGTTTATGTTTTGGTTGTCCTCATCTTCTACTAAATAGCGGCTTTGCGCCGGTATGACATTTGGCGCGGGTCGACAGGGATCGGCACGCTGGGATGTTTTGTTTGGATCTGATCGCCCCCGCGGACCCCCCCCAATGCCGCTCACTCGAGTTCACTCATGCCTGGGGGACCTGCGTGCAGCCGTACCCACCCCTCCAATGTACCCAGATGTCCGAAGACATGTCTACGTTGTGATCAGCAGGTTTCCTCTTCGGTTGAGGCTTCTGTGCCCGGTCATCGGGCCCTCGGGCCATCGATAAAGTTTGGATCCGTGACAAGCCGGCCCTGGGACAGGACGCCGTACGAGTGACCCTTCTACAGAGTGACCTCTGGTGCGGGCCAACGGGGGTTCGTCGCGCAAGGGCTTGATGTATACACCACGTCGTTAGGTCGGCCCAGGATCCAAGCAATTCGGCGAAGGAGTTCGGCGTATGCACGCTCCATATTCCGAAAGCTTGCGTCTTCCACCGAGGTCGTTGGCCGACCAAACGACTCGGTGTGCACTTGCTAACCCCTGGCTCGCGCACCTGGGGATTGCTCCCTCCCCCCCCCAGCGACCCATGGCGGCGATGTTCTCCCCAGGCTGTGCCGCCTCGGGCTTTCGATGCGCCGCGCGGTTCCTTCAGGAGGGGAAATATGGGAATATATGGGCAGTGGGGGAGAAGACGAAAAACAAAAAAAAACAACATGTTGAAATACGGGGGATCTTTTTTTCTGTGTGTATTCATTCGTGTGTCCCAGGGCCCCTTTCATTCCTGCCGCCGGCCCACGGCCCTCCTCCCCTCGTCTGGTCCACGCACTGTGTCCTGAGGCCTCCCGTGGCCGGTGAAGCACGCGCCGAGATTGTTGGGGGACCGCCCGGCCCCCCCCGTCGTGACCAGAAAGAAGGGCCTCGTGCCTTCCAGGAGGAGGAGGAGGAGGAGGAGGAGGAGGACCCGCCGCCACCCAAACCACCCTCTTTCCTTTTCGCAACGATCTGAGGTATGGCTTTCGGGTCACAACTCGGGTCTCCGGCGGCTGGTCGGGACGATCCGGGCACCGCCCGGACGCCCGTGGCGAGGCTCCGCTGCAGGAGAACATCCCGAGTGTGGAGACCCTTCCCGCAGGAAACCGACAACAGACAGAAGCCCTGCACGTCAGCGGTGCGCTGGCAGCCAGGAGGCCATGCACAGACTCTAGCGCCAGGACCCCGCCGCATGGCAAGGTGGAGCAAAGCACGTTACATCCTGTCTTGGCAGCCTCTGTGCTTTTTCCCTGCCCTCGTGCTCCTTTCCCCTCGTCCAGATCAGGACCAGGGGAGGGAAGGATAGAGAGGGAGAGAAAGCTGAGATCAGAGGAAGGCCAGAGCAGAAAGAGAGAGGCGGAATAGAAAGCAGGCGAGGGAAGGAGAGGTAGAGAGAGAGAGAGAGACAGACAAAAAAACAGCAGAGGGAGGCGCGCGCGATGACGAACACCCGACTAGACCAGCTCAGAACATGTGTACTATGTGCGCCTGTTCTTGTGCTGCCAGCGTCGATGCAATACGTACTCAGTCCCAGATCCTTGAAGGAGATGTGGGCATGATGTGTTTGTGCCGAGAATTCGATCCTATGGAGTGCCTTGACTCTGTCTGTTTTGTCCATTCAGCCTTCTTCAAACCAGGTTGGAGGACGCTGTCGATCAGAGCAGTACCCGCGGTCCAACTAGGCCTGAACGCGATGTCGATGAGGAGAAGCGAAGAGCGTGAGAAATCTGGAAACGGGGATGTAATGTGTGAGATTGTGAGTTGGAGAGTATCTCGCCGCGGGCGCCCACTGCCCACCCGAGGGCTTGAGCCACATTGCTACGGATCCTCCTCTTTCTCCTCCTCCTTTTCTCGATGCCGTGGCCAGCCGGCGTCGCTAGGTCCCGCAGCCGACGGCGCCGGGCGCCTGCTGACGTACACGGCCCGCCTGCGACCCCGCAGGGGGCGCGTGCTGCCCGCGCGGAGGCCGTCGGGAGGCTCCGGGGTCGTGCCGCGGGTGGGCGGCCCGCCGGCAGAACCGCTGCTCGTCCTCGCCGTCCTGCCTCTCAAGCAGTGGCGAAGCGTCCTGACGTGCCTATAGTCCTACTAAACAATTTTCTAAGAACCTTTTGTGGTTCCCACGAAATGTTCTTAGAACACTTCTGGCTAGGACTGTGTTGTTTTATCACATCGGCTTTATGTTCTAAGAGCATGGTTTGTGTTCTTAGAACATTTTGGGGTTCTAAGAGCATTTTGTGGTAGGACTATAGGAATGCCGAATGCTGGGACGGTCGGTCCCTGCTCAAGCCTCGAGGGTATGAGGAGGGAGAGGTACATATACTTCTACCCTTTCCCTCGTGTTCGTGTCGTCACCACCGCTGGGCTCGCCTCGAGATTCTGGTCAGAACGCATCCCAGGAGAGGTCCGGGGAGTAGCGGTGTCGGTACCTTTTGGTTTCCCCAGGGACGCCTCCGCTCTGGCAGCTCGTGGGTCAGCGCAAGCCACCACATTGTCATAGCGACGAAGTAGCCGCAGAACTGGGGAAACTAAACCTGCTAGATCAGTCGAAGTTGCAAGAAGCTCGTCGTCTCTAGTCGCCCGAGGTCGACCGAAGGCAATGTTGGGCTCCCACCGCAGGGGGGGGTGTTCGTCTTTCATATCTGCGCGCGCGCACTGCAGCCCGTGCACGTGCTATCTTTCCGATGTGTGTAGGTGTCACGTGTAACCTCGTCCCGTGGCCGGATTCAGTCCTCATCTTTTTTCCCGCTCTGTTGAGGGGGGCAAAGTGGCCTCTCATCGGGCGTAAGCTTCGCAGGTCTACCCGAAGGGTTGGCAGAGGGCAAAGAGCGCCGCGGTTCGGGCCGCGATGGCGCAGGGCCTGTGCCCAAGGGCGATTCGGGTGAACATTCACGGTCAGCGACCAGAACTATGATGAGGCGACTGGGCCTGGGAGTGGACAGAGACTATACTGAGGCATTGCGTCCTGCAGGTGAGCGATGTAGCCCACCTGGCCGCGGAGCGGGCGAGATTCCAACGAGCATTGGAGTCGAGCCAGTTCGGCTGCCCACGCGGCGGCCGCAGGGGCTCTCGTGCCGAGTGGGCCCAGGAGGGAGCCCTGGGGTCGTTCTTTTCCTTTCAAGAGCGCGTACGTGGTGCTGCCTTATGCATCATTATTTAGATGGGTCTGGCGCAGTTTTCTTTCTGAGGGAGGATCCTATGCAGATGAAGTCGGCTTCGTGGGCGATATCGAGGGTTCTCTCGAAGTTTCGGCTTGACTGCGTGTGGGTTCCCCTCTTCTTTCTCCCTCTTTCTTGTTATCCTTCCTTCTCACGTCCGCTGTCATTCATCCGTAGTGCTCGTTGTCATTGTCATCCGACCTCGGCATTCTCTTCCTCCGTGACATGCTGCTTCCCCAAAGCCCCAGAACCCCCGCAAAGCCGCCACGCTTCAAACAGTTGCTTAGACTACGGGAGGGCCCCCTGAAATCCGCAGGTTCAAATTCATCCCCCAGCCGAGGAAAACAGATTCGAACTTCGACTCTCCATCATTTCCCCCTCGAAGATCAGGCCGTGGACTCTTCCTGGGATGCTTTTCGACCTGCAGGGGAATCCAGCCGTGGCGACGATGATCCAGGTCTGGGTCCTCCTCCTGGGGATTAACAAGCGGGAGAGGACACGACGAGCGCCTGCCCAGGTGGACTTCGAACAGCGCCCCGCTCCCTGGTGACAACGCGCGCCGAACCGTCGATGCAGCAGCTGCCCGGCATGCCCTGGCCCTGTTTCGGGCAAGGTGCGCTTGAGCCATCGGCGGCTCTCCTCCTCCATCCTCCCCCCCACCCTGCTGCTCCCTCCTCTCCCTCCTCCCCTGCACCTGTTAGCGACGAGTCCAGCACACCTTGGGCCCGATGGACCGGCGAAGAGGCGACCGTCCAGCGCGTCCATGCAGCCGCGTAGGGTTGCGGCTCGACGCTGGGCCCTGTGACCAGCCAGTTGGCCTACAGCGGCGCCAAGCAGGCCACGGCAGCAACACGTTCTCGCGTGAGGCAGCGATTGAAAGCCGCGCGCGCCCGTGGGGGGCGGAAGGGGCTGCGAGGCGGGGAGAATAACGATTTTTGGAAGGCCAAAAGGGACCAACACCGCTACTCACCGGACCTTTCCGGGGGGTGCGCTCTGACCAGAATCTCGATGCGAATCCAGCGGTGACGACGAGGGCCTCTCATGAGGCCCAACAAGGCGAACACGAGGCGAGGTAGCGGTATCTGTACTTTTTCCTCTGAGATTCCCCCCCCCTTCCCCCCCCGCCCGCGACCCCAGGCAGAACTCCCCAGAGCCTGCTCGGACACGGCGGTCGGCGGGAGGCAGTTTTGCCGCGGCCGCGCTCGTGGCGGGGCATGCGAGAGAGACGTCCTCCGCGCTGCAGCTTCTCCGAACGATGCATGCCCCCCGCGCCGATCGAGTGGCGCCTGCTTGCTTGGGGACCCTTGTCCAGCGCGACATCGGCACGAGCTGGGCGCGCCTGGCAGCACGGCTCATTTCGATCCGTCAGACTCGATTCGGCTCGACGTCCATCGATTCCGATTCGACTCGACTTCGGAGTCCGATGTGGGTTCCGGTGTCCCAGTGGAGGCCTTACTCCTTTATTCCGGGCTGGGAGAAGTTTTCCCTTAACGCCGCCACATGGTCCAATGCCGCATAGCAGGAGGCTTTGTGTGAGCGTGAAAGATGGCCTTATTTTGGACGGGTCGACAAACGTGCATCATGCGTCCACAATGCGAGCACACGTCGGTAGTCGCCACGTTAGGGATGTGGAGCCTGGTACAATCTTACGGAGGAGGTGCCTCGCTTTCGGGGCGGAGGGCAGCCTGTGGTTCGGTATTTTAATTGATCCTGCTACACCAAACGGGATGGCGGTTCGAAAACGACACACCGCATGGGACAACCTCACAAAAGTGATTGTCTTGACGGTTCGAACGCGGTTCGAAACAATATAATGCGGTTCGAAACAAAATCAACATTAGCGTTCCGCGCGGGACTTCGCTCAAAATACGGCGCCCGATCTGGTTCGAAACAAGAGGATGGCGGTTCGAAAACGGCAAACCCCGTGGGACATTCTCATACAAATTGTTGTCTTGACGGTTCGAATTCGGTTCGAAACAATAGATTTTAGTTCCGAACATTTCGAGAACGAGCATTTCTCTTGGGACTCCCTTCAAAATACGATTGGAACCTGGTTTCCGCACAGTGGGATGGCGGTTGCAAAATGCCAAATCGCATGGGGCGCCCTCGCCAAATCAGTTTTCTTGACGGTTCCACAGCGGTTCCAAACAAGAGAAGTGGGCTCCGAACAATTGGAAAACGAGCTTTTCGCTTGAGACGTCCTTGGGAATACACCTGGAATTTGGCCCCAAACAGGTCCCAAACAAAGGAATCGCGCGGGGCATCCCCTGCAAATAGCGTGCGCCCCATTCCAAAAAAACGACGGCCGCGCGACGACGACGACGACCACGACCACGACCATGACGTTGACGTAAGCTCTCGCCAGAACGCCGGCCTATCCTTGGTTCTCGCCTCATCGTTGGCTAGTCTCTCGGTCTGGCCGACCGCTCTTCCTTGAGCAAGGAGAGGCCCCAGGAGGGGGACGTGCTGGATGAGACAACGCCACCTCCTCTGAGCAAAGCCAAGCAATGCGTGACGAGGTCTCAAGCACCTGGCCCAAACCGAGCCAAAGCAGGCAAATTGTAAGGACGTCTCACGCATGCAAAACCAATCCCAAACCAGACAAATTGTGAGGACGCCTCAGGCGCAAGTGGGCCCAAACCAAGCCAAACCAAGCAAATTGTTAGGATGCCTCAAGCAAAACTTGGTTCAAACAAGGCCAAACCAAGAAAATTGTGAGGACGTTTCAGGCAAAACCGGGCCCAATCCAGGCCAAACCAAGCAAATTGTCAGGACGTCTCCAGCAAAGCCGGTCCCAAACTAGGCCAAACCAAGCAAATTGCAAGGACATCTCATGCAAAACCAGGCCCAAACCAGGCCCAAACCAGGCCAAACCAGGGGCCAGACCAAGCAAATTCGGAGGATGTCTCGGGCGGCTTGCGCCGCCGAACCAAGCCAAACCAGGGCCCCAACCAGGCAGATTCTGAGGACGTCCCAAGCAGAATCGCCAAACAAGGCTCCACCCATTCTCCTTAATAGAGCTCTGATGAAACGAGTGGATCACCCCAGGCCCCCCCCCGGCGCAAGCGAGTAGAATTATATGGGGGGCGCGTTTGAATCACATGTCCGGTGTGGGGATTGGGTGCGGAAGGATTCGTTTGTCTTTCGGTTGTTCTTGGGGCCTTGGTGTGGAGTATGGAGACATGTTTCCGAGTCTGGAGAATGCCGATTCCCTTCGATTCGAACTCTCCCGATTTAGCTGGCGATTTTCGCAGATACGATCCATGTCGTTCGCCAGTCCGACTTATCGATTCGATGTTGGGCTCTCTTGGACACCCCCCTCTTGGCCGCTCCCGATACACTGCTGCGTGGCGGGCGGCCCGCCTGGCGGTGGGCCGGGCGGAAGACGCTTGGCGGCGCAGGGACGGCCTCGTCAAGGATGCACGCGGTGCCGGATGCGAGCCGCGCCCTGGGGGTTCGCGGGCGCTGCCGGCTGCATTGAGCACGACGCGCAGTGCGGCTCAATGCACCGGCTCGCGCGCTGCCCTAGCGAGCTGCCACCATCCATGCTGTTGGTTTTCTTGGGCATCAGCAGGCCAGCCACAACTGGGGGAGCTGTGGTCCTTACCCCCATGGGGGGCCCATCGATTTCGACACCCCTATCAAGAGGTCGTCGATGCGATGGGTTCCCCCAGGGGGGTTAGGACCACAGCTCCCCCAGTTATGGCTGGTCGGATCAGCTCCGAGGAGCATATGACAAGCTCATTGACTACGTCCGCCGCGCTGCAGGAGCATGCGACACATGCAACGCTTCAATCAGCCTCCGTGGCGCGGCGCGGGCGCGATCTGGCGCGTGCAGCAGCGCCGGGGCGA